ACAGAAAAGGCCAGGTTGCATTTGTATACAAAATATCATGATGATGTGATACTACAAAAAATTTTACCAATTACCATTAGTGTCGAAAATTTAACTAAGTTTGTAAACAGGAAGACGATGGTGCATGGTGGTGTAATTGTTTATTAATTGCTTCGGGAGTTGGAGAGCCGATCCTTGTCCAAAATCAGAGATTTCACTGCCCTATATACTCTCTATTCTCTTTCAAGAAACCACAAACCAAATCATTCCAACGACTTGTATGGCTTTACGATCAAGGAGACTATGTTTCTCTCCGAAACAGCATTAGTAACACCGAATGGAATCTGTTGAAAACAGTGATCAATATCTTTACTTCCTCATTTACAAACTAACTCCTAGAACTATCTAAATCATTCATCCCAACGAGGCAAGTAAAGTTAAGCCTAACGATGCTCCGTGGATTACAACAGAAATAAAGAAACTAATACATAAGCGCAAAAAATATTACCACAGAGCCAAATACTCACAAAACTCGCACCACTGGTACAAATTTAGACAACTCCGTAATAAAATCGTTACACTTATACGCACGGCTAAACATAACCACTTCTTACAAATGGCAGAGTCTCTCAAGTCAGACTGTACTACACAGAAGGACTGGTGGAAACTAATCAAATACCTTATCTCTCCCACTGAAAAGACAAAACATTCTTCAACTTAAAAACCCAATCAATGATGAACTTGTTTTTGATTCAAAATTGGAATCTGACCTTTTGAATGACTTTTTCTGTAGCCAGTCGTCGCTAAATAATTCCGATAAAGAACTTCATTTTAATGATTGTAATATGCCTATAAACACACTTTGTTCTATTTCTATCTCTCCTCAGGATGTTGAAGACGCTCTGCGGTCACTTAAAACAAACAAAGCTTCAGGTCCTGATGGGGTCAGTAACCGTATATTGCGGGAAACTGCTTCAGTTATTAAATTTCCCCTATGTTCGTAGTTCAATCAGTCTCTTCAGACTTGTAAATTACCATTTACATGGAAAAAGGCCAATGTTTGTGCTGTCTTTAAAAAAGGTGATCCATCTGTTCCAAATAACTTTCGTCCGATTTCCTTGTTGTGCTGCGTAGAAAAGGTTTTTGAACGTATCATATTTAAGTATCTATTTAATTTTCTTCAAGATAATAACTTCCTTTCTTCCGTACAGTCAGCCTTCAGACCAGATGACTCAACGGTAAACCAGTTAACGTACTTGTACAACACATTCTGTAAAGCTTTAGATGACGGATTAGAAGTTAGAGCTGTGTTCTTTGATAAAAGTAAAGCGTTTGATAAAGTCTGGCACAAAGGTCTTCTCTTTAAGCTGAAAGCTGCTGGAGTAGACGGTTGTCTACTTACCTGGTTTTCTGACTATCTTACTAACAGGCACCAGGCGGTCCTACCTGGGGTCCAATCAGACTGGTCGATAGTAAAGGCTTGAGTACCCCAAGGCTCCATCCTTGGGCCGCTACTATTTCTTGTTTTCATCAATGACATCGTGGAAGATATAGGCTCTAAAATTAATCTTTTTGCTGACGATACCAGTTTACATATTATTGTTGACTACCCTGGTTTTGCTGCTGAAACACTTCAATCTGATATAGACAAGATATCAGCTTGGGCTGAAAAATGCTGGTTACTTTCAATCCATCGAAGTATGAATCTATGGTTATCTCTCGTAAAAGAAATAAACCCTTTCATCCTTCACTTCTTATGCATAACCAACAAATAACAACCGTAAACAGTCACAAACATCTTGGCCTCCACCTTTCAGACGATTGCTCGTGGCATTGTAACATTAACTATATTACCGAACGAGCCTGGAAGAGGATACACATTATGAGGAAATTGAAGTTTCAGCTTGACCGTATATCTCTTGAAGTGATATATTTAACTTTCATCCGACCGATTTTGGAATACGCCGATGTTGTCTATCTAAACTGCACACAATATGAGAAACTTGAGCTTGACAAAATTCAAAATGAAGCGTCTCGTATTGTGTGCGGTGCTACAAAACTTGTATCATTAGATAAACTTCATAGTGAAGTTCCTTGGGAATCCTTAGAATCTCGAAGAAATAATCATATGCTTATCTTACTTTATAAAATGAAAAATGGCTTAACACCAGATTACTTGTGTTCTTTACTTCCACCTACTGTAGGCGAAAATTCACGGTACGATCTACGCAATGCTACAAATATTCAGACTATTCGAACACGAACAACTCTTTATCAAAATGCTTTTCTTCCAATTTCTCTGAATAAATGGAACGCCCTTTCAACTGAAGTACAAAATATACGTTCACTGTTTCCTTTCAAATCCCATTTGAGACGAAGCAGCTATAGTTGTCCGATTTATTTCTATGAAGGCGATAGAAAATGGCAGATCTATCATGCTCGACTTCGTAGTGAATGTAGTTCTCTAAATCAGCATCTATTTAAGAAAAAATATGTCTCCATCTCCTCTTTGTCAGTGTGGCATAGTGGAAAGTAATTACCACTGTTTCTTTGAATGTCAACGCTATGCTGACAGCATGGCCTCTTTTCTTAACACTATATCTACTATTTGTTCAGCAACTCTCCAAAAGTTATTAAATGGAGACCCAAACATTAGTGATAATGCAAACAGAAGACTGTTTGAAGCCGTTCATACATACATCCGAGAAAGCAAGAGATTCTCTTAAGCATATTCACATCAGCTCAAATCACTAAATACTTCCCATTTAAATCGTCGAACTATCCGAATGATCCACATTTCATTTCTTTCTTCTTCTTTTCTATTTTGCTGAAAGTTTCTTCCTTCATTTCTTTCTATCTTAATTTACGTTATTTCTTTTCAATTCTATATAACAAAATGATGCAGTCTTGTATTCTCATTTCTTTTTTTTTGTATATATTTTTGCTTTATATTATAACTAAATGTAGAAACAATTTTGACTTTAACTTCTTTAAAACAATGTAAAATAAGATATATTTCAAGCCAGTCACATATACTGTCATACCGTATTTTATGCATTGTAAAACTATAAGGAGAAGGCCTTTATAAGCTCAGCTTTCGGACCCAATCCTTTTTCAACATATCATGTATGTATTGTGTACATTATTGTCTGTATATATATTGTGAATTTGTTCGAAATAAACTATGTTTAAACTAAACTAGGAAGACGATGAGCAACAGACCTGAAATCGAATTCCACGGTATGGGACCACCTGTCAATTCTGTATGCCAAATATCAAGAGGCTGTGATAAGTAGTTGCCGAAAAAAATGTTAACGAAAATTTCCTACCATTACAGTCAAAAAATTTTAATTAGTCAGCAAACAGGAAGTGGATGAGTGACAGCCTGCCACCGCCCAACATTCACCATACTATAACCCGGGTTTGCACCTGTGCAACCCGGTCTATAACCATTATAAAAAATTGAATTTAATAGATACATGGATCATACATTGTATTCTTCCACTTCATTTATATCTTCTTCTATCTCTTCTTCTTCATCTGCAGTATCCTAATAAAACAACTATTTTAATGAATAAAATAAGGTTAAAAACATTCTGAACATATCCAAACAGCAAGGATCACACGCTTAACTTCTCTGATTGTATATGTATACAAAATGATTTAAGTGTTCCTTTATTGTTCAGCAATCTTTAAGAATACAAAGAAAAAGCTCAATCTACCTTAAATGAAAATCTTTTTTCTTGCACTGATACCAAAATTCATGCACATCTGCCCCACCACCCCAATTTTCTGTATGAAATTCTGGAAAATCAGCTGTATGAAATTGACAGAATGCAGTGTTCGGATTTAATGTAGTAATTGGTAATTTTAGAATAGTACTACTTCTTAACAAACTTACCATATCATGCGCAATAGGATCATAGGCCACATTACAAGTATCTTCCTGAATAGCAGAATAAAAAACAATTAACAACTTTCTTCGCACATCTATAAGATAAATTAAAAACTATGCATGAGACTTTACAATAACCATTTACAATTAATCCAATAGCACTCCACTGCCATTTTTCGACACGAAAATACTGGGCATTTTATTTTTTCAAGAGAACATTTGTTTGGCCTAGTATATTTACACTGAAATTCATGTCTAATTCAAACCACTTTTTAAAGAATATTCATTTTTTTTAAACAAGATCGATCAGTGATCACATGTGTCGCCTCATGATGGCCAATTTCATGTTGGGACAAGTTTTGTGACAGACGGAGAAGTGATAGGAGTAGTGGCGACATAAATTCCTGTAAAGTTAGGATGAAATTGCCCCAGTAGTTTATGAGGAGTAGTGGGGACAAGTTTTGTGACAGGCGGACAGACAGACAGTGCACAACTAGACTTGGTACTGATCATTCCTGTAAAGTTTGGATAAAATTGCACCAGAAGTTTATGAGGAGTAGTACGGACAAGCTTTTGTGTATCTGGCAACACACAGAAAATAACACCTTTTTATCAAAGGGCCATAACTCGGCCAAAAATCATTCAACCGGAAAACCCGTGCAATATGCGCAAGGACTTGAGCTACAGATCAATTCTGTAAAGTTTCATTGACATTTCTTTAGTGCTATAAGAGAAGTAGTCCGGACAAACTTTAAATATAAAAATTATTAAAGGGCCATAACTCTAACAAAAATCATTGAACCGGAAAATGCTGACAATATGTACAACTAGACTTGGTGCTGACCATTCCTGTAAAGTTTGGATGAAATTGCACCAGTAGTTTATGAGGAGTAGTGATCCCTATATGTCGCCACTACTCCGTAGAGGTGACACAAAAAGACCTTAAAGTTGAGCCACTGAGATACTATAAACTTGAATCTGATTAAGATTTTTACAAAAAAAATCAATATCAATTAAACTAACAAGAGATGCCACAGGAGACAAAAAAGCTTGACTAATTAAATATTTGACACAGTAAAGAATGAAATAATAATGACAAAAAAAATAATTATGTCACGTCACGTCAAAATATATGCGCGGCCGTGCAATTCCATATTTATGGAGTCAAAAAATCAGCACGGGTGTGTGATAAAGATCAATATCCTAAGATCAAATGCAGGAAACACAAGAAGCTTACCATTTGTAAGGTATGACATAAAATATAATGATTGCAATCAAGAATAAGTAAAATTGTCATCATTAATCATCAATTTTCTTGAGCCAATACAATACATAATATATCCAAATGTGTCACAATTGCTAAATGATGTATGCTGCTTTAACATAATAGTAATTGATTTTGGGTTTTTATGAATACATCTACCTGGACCTCTTTGATTCACTGATTGGAAAGCTATGCCAGTACGTCTCCACCATGCAGGGCAATTTCTGTCCTGATACCAATTTCGCCTTCCACTTTTGTCTGAAGTTAGAAACAAGTGGGCATAGATGGTCCTGTATCAACAACTGACATACATTGCTCAAAAATTAATCAATTAAGTTGAAATTGGTCAATCATACTTAACCTCAGCTGTAGGATTTAAAACAAGGGGCATTATGGTCCTGGATTGCTTACCTGCTACAGGAAAACTATATAAGCTCTAGACATTGTAGAAATAACAGGATCTTGAAACATTTCATTTTAAAATCTTTTAATGTATCAGACTAGAATCATTCATGTAACTTTCACAGAGTGCCATGTAAGGATCATTCCTGTGAAGATAGTCAAAATCCACAAAGTGTTTTAAGAAGGATGTTGTTTATTAACACATTATAAAAAGGCAGATTGACAAACATCATGCCATTACAAAAGTTCACCTCCAAGTAGTTTAAAATTTACATATTTAAACTACTGCACATTCATAACACAGTACACATGCAATACTTCACAATTACATTTTTCAGTACATTATAGATATTATAAATACATGTACCTAAAGCAAACCCAATTTTACTTAGTAGATACATAAGAAATCTAATGATACTAAGTACTAATTCAATATACAAACTTGATAATGAACTTGATGGACCAGCAACAGTTGACAATATTGATCTCATCATGTCCACATTTAGATCAAAAACATGTTTATCAAGACATTCCTTGTATGAACAGTCTTCAGATGTGCCCTCTGAAATATACATCAATTCAATATTACCTTGGTCACTTTAATAATAAAATTTTGAGCATCACTAATAAAGCCAGTTGGTAGGAATGACATCCTTTAAGAAAACTTACAGCCAAATAAGATTTTTTTTCCATAATACCATCAAAAGAAATTAACAGTCACCAATAGTGCCATAGCACTTGTAGAACCTTCATATGTGTATATGTTTCAACAAACAGAGGGATGGACAAATCCACACCTATATGCTTCCTCTTCAAGAAAGCAAACAAAAAGTGTATTTTAACTTTCATGGATGCTCACATTCAACTCATAAACTTATTTCAATTTAATCTGTACAAGACAACCAACCTTCAGTCTCACCATAGCTGTGATTCAAAACAGCTTCTTTGTAGGCAGTCTGAACTTCAGTCTTTAAAGCGAAGTTAGTCCTTAACTCTGTAGGACCTGAAGTTGGTAAATATACACTTTATGAAATTTGCTGAATGACATCTTAAAATTTAGTATTGGATATGATTGTTATCTTAAATGATAAATACACACAAAAAATAGGTACGTTGTATTATTTTTTGATAATATGATTGTAAGTACACACTTACTGAATAAACGTTTAAAGATTTTAAAACATGGAATAATCAGTGGTTACCTGTAACTTGTATATCTTTATCCAGTACCCCAAAACACAAAAGGTTCATTGACTTGTATTTTTCATTGTACTTAGCAATCTGAAATAAATACATGATAATTACATAAATTAATATAGTTAGAGGTACAAATGTGCCCAGAGTACATGGATACTCCCCCCTCCCCCTTATCGCACTGTTTGTAAGTATACAGAGTGGCCTGGGATAATTAAAACATGAAATTGAAATTATGATGAGGGATTGTAAAAAACAAGATTAAATTATAAATAATATACAAGTAATATATAACAAAAAGTATAGCTATGAAATCATTTGCTAAGAGTATGTTTTACCTTCAAGAAAATGATTATTCATTTTAAGAACAGTATTTGCTATTTCAGAAAATTTTATTAATTTCAAATTTTTCCATAAGGTCTGGCAGCGGCTAATACAGAGCACTGCTACAGTTCCATACTATGAACATAAGTGTGCAAGAATAATGAAAATCACCTTATAGAGCCAATTTAAAGATCATAATGCTAATATTTTTACAGTGATAAAAGCAAGGGTACCTGATTCTAGAATAAACTATTCAATATCTATTGGAAGCAATGAGTTAACCCATAAATAATCTATTATTTTAAAAAAGAAAGAAGTTAAAAGCAAAAGGAAAACCAAACAGCTGATGTGAAAGAAGTGCAAAAATAAAAAGTGCCCAATTAGAGGTTTAAGTGCAATATACACTAAAGCTATATCTGAATTACAGCTGTAACTACAGCTGTAACTAACAAGGCAGCAAATTTTATGATTTGGTGAGAAACAAATTTTCAGCAGACTGCAAATTTTACAATTCTAATAATTTTCTACTAAATACAGGATATACCTTTTTATCCTTACTTACTACCAGAAGAAAGAGGCATTCCCATTGCAAATTTTTTTTTCCAAATTGAGAAGTAGAAATGCCCATTCATCATTAATATTGGTGATGATTTTCATTGAAAAATATTTTTTTATAAAAAGATTTATAATTTAAAAGTGTATGTATAAGATCTAAGTTTTTAAAACTATAAACCAATTTTTCAATAAAAGGACAGGAAAAAGTTTTCAAATTATTTGAGCCTTTAACAAGAGCCACCGCCGGGCGGGGGCAACGCTCGACTTTTTACTTTCTCTAAAAGCAAACAAAGAAATGTTCGAACAAAATATTAACGTTTCATTTAAATATAAAATTAATCATTCTGTTTTGTCACATTAGTTTTGTCTATATATTTTATATATATAAATTTACTAATTTATATATAAATAAAGACACCCAATTCGAAGTCACATGGTGCTGTCACGTGGTGAAGTCTCGTGGTGGAGTCACGTGGTGGAGTCACGTGGTGAGGTCACGTGGTGGAGTCACGTGGTGGATTCATGTGGTGGAGTCACGTGGTGTAGTCACGTGGTGGAGTCACGTGGTGTAGTCACGTGGTGGTGTCACGTGGTGGAGTCACGTAGTGGAGTGACGTGGTGTAGTCACGTGGTGGAGTCACGCGATAGTCATGCGGTGAAGTCACGTGGTGGAGTCACGTGGTGAAGTCACGTTGTGAAGTCACGTGGTGGAGTCACGTGGTGGAGTCACGTGGTGGAGTCACGTTAAACAACAATGTCTTGTCTTTAAGTATGTTCTGTTATAATATGAAGTTGATCCCTTCAATAATAGCAAAGTAACAGCCAGTTACAGCCAAAACAAAGTCAAGGTCATTCATGAGTGAAGGTCAAGGTCTGTCGGGTTATTTTTAAGGGTTATCCTTGAAGATTATTATGTTCAAGTTTGAAGACAATCCATTCAAAAATAACAAAGTTACAGCCAATAATAGCCAAAAACATGAAAATTTCAATAATTTGACCTTCAAAGTCAAGGTCATTTATGAGTGAAGGTCAAGGTCTGTCAGGTTATTTTTAAGGGATATCCTTGAAAATTATTATGTTCAAGTTTGAAGACAATCCATTCAAAAATAACAAAGTTACAGCCAATAACAGCATGAACAACTTTTAACCTTGAAGGTCAAGGTCATTTATGGATGAAGGTCAAGGTTAGTGTGGTCTACTGAAAGGTCTTGTCCCAAAGGTTGTTGTGGCCAAGTATGAAGACAATGCACCAAGAAGAAAAAAGTTTATGATCCAGGTACAAGTTTGCGGACGGCAACAACGGCAACGCCCGACCGACTATAACAATACCTCTACTTTTTTTTTTTCAAAAATAAAAGGTCGAGCTAATAAAAGGACAGAAAAAAGTTTTCAAATTAATTGAGCCTCACTTAACAAAACACATCAAAAACTTACATTTTGCTGAAAATCTATTTCCAGGCATATTCTTGGAATAAATAGCATAATGATGTTGAACCCTCACCTGATTTGCCACCCTGATTTCCATGCCTTTGTCGCCATACCTGCTAAATCTATACAATTTGTTAAGGACACATATATTATGATTGAAATTGATGTTCATTAAATATTAAATATTTGCATATCCAAATAGTCTTAAAATGGCCAGTTTTGAAATATCCAAATAGTCTTAGAAATGGCCAAACAAATAAATACAAATAATAAAAGATTTTAAGACATAATACTTAAGAAATTAAAAAAAAAACTATTAAGGTTAGTAGCGCCATGGAAAATACATGTATTATCTGAAACAGGAACGTGTTTGTTAAACACAAATGCATCAGGCTCAGATTCTTGTCACTTACATAAAAAATAAGTGGGCATGACAAGCATTGACTTGTGATGAAGTTGAATAATATTCAATTACAAATAAAAATTCATTAAATATATAAATATTAGACATTGGTAAAAATTACAACAAAAGCTCTATAAAAAGTATATTTTTAGCACAGGTGACCTTGACCTTGTTATTTTTGGTGCCATTGATCTTGAACCACTGACCCCTAAAACAAACCAAAGAAAGAAAATCCCTTGAACAATGAAAGCTATGAACAGGAAACAAAATATACCCTATAAAAACCATGTTAAGCTTTGACCTCCAAGTGCGGCCTTGACCTTGGAAATGGGGATCCAATGTTGAGTATGACACATTGTCTTACTTTTTTCAACAATAGTGGCCAGTATTTACAAAATAACTAGATTTCAGAAAAAGTTATGGATGGTACACCACACAATACCCTCAAACAGACATTGTTGAGCTGTTATCACTAATAGTGAGCTTGACGTTAAAGGACAGGCCTCTGAGTGTTGCACACAACGTATCTTCTTACTGTGTACTAAGTAATTTCAAATAAATTATACCCTTCAACTGACCATATTAAGCTTTGATCTCCAAGTGAGACCATGACCTTTGAGGAAGAGGTCTGGGTGCTGCACATGACACTTCAGTCTTATTATTGTAAACATTTGTGCCAAGTATTTTCAAAATCCCTTGATCTATGTTGAAGTTATGGACCACACAAAAAATATACCCTTTAACAGTATACGTTAATCTTTGACCTCCAAGTGTGACCTTGACCTTGGAAGTAGGTGGTTACACATTGTCTTATTATTGATAACATTTGTGCTACGTATTTTTTTCAAAATCCCTTCATGAATAAGAAAGTTATGAACCGGACATGACATATACCCTCATGACATATCGTTGCATGACATCGTATTATTGTAACAAACATTTTTGCCAAGTTATTTCAAATTACTATAATAAATAACATAGTTATGGACACAGAAGTGACGGCCGTCCAGATGGAGCCTATTTCTATATCCACCATTTTTCTTCTAAAAGGCGGGGGGGTGCAAAAAAAAACAAGCAACAATATCCTGTGCTCCTGTGAATCTTGGTGCAAGGGGGCGTGGACGGTAACTTGCACTTTCCAGTACCGTCCATGAACAGGCTCAATCAAACTGAGCCTGCAACATTTTCAATTATGTTGTGTTGGACTTTCTTTAGGGATTCTTATGTTCCAGACTCCGAATGTTGGTGCTGGTTTTAATTATCAGAGACCGGTTTAAAATGTTTAGATAATTGTTTTGATTTCAATAAATCATGCCAACTGTCCAGCGCAGTGTTATTTTAGTGCGCTCTGGTCCCTGCCAAGACTAAGCGTTCCCTATAGTAACTAATGATCCCCATATTTAGAAAATCAAATTTTACTTTTATTTTCTTAGAGGGCGCTTCCTGCATTTTGGTTGGTCAAAACTGTCCCTAGAAATAATAATTATATGCAAATGCAAGATTTGCCGCCTTTCCAAGGCGCAGTTGAAAATAAGATTTTGGAATGTGAAGTACAGATCTTGTGAATTTCTATTTATTAAGTTTCGGACACAGATACCATTGTTCAGTAAGTTTATTTTTGTTTTTATTTGCCTTCGTTCGAGAAAATTATTGTTTATATTAATTTTTGTTCTAAAATAATTACATTTATTATTGTTAAGGTATATACATTAACAATTTTATGTTAAGATAGATAAAACTGTATCCTAGTTAAAATTTTGATGTAAAAGTAAATAATCTGTAATTCTATCAATTAATAAATTTGTTAACATTACTAGCAGCAGGATTCCCACAGTATTTGTTAAGGATGAATTATATATGTGACTTGTTTATTTGTAAGTATGTATGCATTATTTGTATGTTGTTTTAATTGTTATTAATGGAAGTATAACTGTTTAACTTTCAGATAACCGCTATATACGCTATATACGCTATATACGTTAGATACACTATATACTCCTTAGACTATGTGTTGTTTCTGGAATAAAAGTTGAAAATATAGCGCGTGAATTGCATCTTTTTGTTGCCCAAACTTGGTGAAGCTGCCCATGACGACTGTGTCGTAGTGTCTTTGTAATTTGGTGAACAGTTGAAGTGAACACCCGTATTAACGTGTTCTCTCTCAGCCATCCACGTAATCTACACTGTGTTCTTAAAGTGATTGAACAGTATAGTTCCTACAGTTATTGAACACTGTGTTATTCTACAGTTATTGAACAGTATAGTTCCTACAGTTGTTGAACACCGTGTTATCCTACAGTTATTGAACATAATCTATTAACGAAATGGTGAAAGTTAATTGGATTTAACCGTATTTATTTGGATTATATTCGTAAACATATATTCCGTATCATCTAAAGATGGCAAGTAATGTAACCAGCAACGAAGCTGAAGTGAATATGAATAATAATTCAAGAGGGCACGAGCTGCACTAATTCCGTTGTAACATGTAGCTCGACAGCCTCACGCAAGCGGAGGGCAGAACTGCGCCTCCGTCAGCTGAAAGAAAAACAAGAAACAGAGCGCAGAAGCGAGGAGGTTCGCCGGGAGCTCGAACTGCAGTCGGCCCGGCACGAGCTAGAACTAGCTGAGATGGAGGAAGAAGATTCCGACGATAGTGGAGTGCTATCCTTACCTGACGAGCCAGCAACATATGTTCGAGTTGAAAATTACGTGAAGGACTTACCTGACAATACAATTAGTGAAAATCTTTATGATAATATACCATCAAGACAAATTTATTCTCAAAACGTTTATGGTTTACCTAAACCGGAGTTAATTAAATTTAGTGGGAATCCTGCTGATTATTGTAAATTCATCAGCAATTTTGAAACCAATATCGAGCCTAGGGTTAGTGACAATAGATTAAAATTAAATTATTTAATTCAATTGTGTCAGGGTGAAGCACAATATTGTATCGAAGATTGTGTAATTTTGTCTCCGGACGAAGGCTATTTAAGGGCTAAAGAAATCCTTAAATCTAGGTACGGTAAACCACATTTAGTGGCCCGGTCCCATGTAGATAGTTTAGTAAATGGCAGTGCCATAAAAAATAATGACGTAAAGGGTCTAATGAACCTGTCACTCCATATGGAGAAATGTCATATGACCTTGACACAGCTAGGTTTTATGTCCGATGTGAATAATACGGAAAACCTACGCAAAATAGTTAGGAGACTTCCACTTCACATTCGGTCCCAGTGGGTCGAACGTGCAAGTAGCCTGATAGAGCAGGGGCTCGAACCAAATTTTAACCATCTTCTAACCTTTGTGAGGGAACGGTCAATTGTAGCCAATACAATGTATGGTTATGACCTTGCGAATGAGTCAAAACAAACAGTGAATTCGCAAAGAAATTCCCACATAAACCCTCCTCAGCGTAATAAAGTAGTTACACTGTCCACTGGCTCTGATAAGAGAAATTTAGGTAAATCTCCCTTAAAGAAATCCGCTAGGGGACGATTATCATGTATTTATTGTAAAAAGGCCCATAAATTAAGGGCATGCGCAGAGTTTCGCTCCATTGATATTGATTCAAAGCTGAGAGTTATCAGAGAGCATGAAATGTGCGAAAACTGTTTGTATTTCAAACATGTTGCCGAAAATTGTAGGCAAAATAGTTTTTGTGAGGTTTCAGGTTCTACCGGGAAACATAATACAATGTTTCACCGAGATTCTAGTAAAATCGACAAATTTACAAATGTTGAGGATAAATATGTTGCGGCTTCCGAATCGAGGTGTAAACAAAACAAGGTAAGTTTACGCATAGTTCCTGTCGTCGTCGGAACGAAAACTATGCAAGTAGAAACGTACGCTCTCCTTGATGAAGGGAGCGATGTAACGCTTTGTAGCGAAAGCCTTGTAAAAAGGCTTGGGGTTAAAAGTAAACCATGTAAGTTCACGTTAACTACAGTGAACAAGTCTGGTCATAATATAAATGGCAAGGAAGTTAAACTACAGGTAAGTGCATTAAATGACGGTCAGGTCATTGACCTTCAAAAGGTATGGTCTGTAAAAACCCTGCCTATATCCTTGCAGTCGTTGCCAGACCAGTCTGTGACAGGTAAGTGGAAACACCTTAATGGTACAATTTACCGAAGATTGATGTAAACAAAGTTGAGTTGCTTGTGGGAAGCGACACCCCAGACGCATTCTGGGTAGAAGAGCAGCGAAGGGGGAATAAAGGTGAGCCCTATGCAATTATGTCAATATTAGGCTGGAGTATTATAGGACCCACATGTAATGGATCGTCAAATGATCAAGGTAGTATCAATTTTCAGTTTGCATCTAGTACACAGTTGCAAATCGATAAGTTATGGGCAACCGACTTCCCAGATGTCAAGAGCTGTGGCACAGGAATGTCACAGGAAGACTGTCGTGCACTTTCAGTAATGAAAGGTACAGTAGTAAAGGAAAACGGTCATTACGAATTGGGACTCCCGTGGAGAAACCAAGACGTAAGTCTTCCAAGTAATGTGAAGATGGCTACGGTAAGATTATCTCACTTGAAGCGAAAACTTCAAAGAGATAATAAGTTATTTGATATGTATAAAGAAACGGTGAATGGGTATATTGATAAGGGTTATGCTTCCTTATTAGAAACCAGGACGGGATTCGAACCCGGACGTATTTGGTATTCACCTCATCATCCAGTTCTTAACCCAAAGAAGCCGGGTAAGGTAAGAGTTGTCTTTGACTGTGCTGCTAAGTATCAAGGCACATCATTGAATGACAATCTGTTACAAGGTCCCGACCTAACTAACAGTATTACTGACGTACTTATGCGATTCCGGCAGGCCCCATTGGTTGCGGACATAGAAGCCATGTTCCACCAGGTAAGAGTATGTGAGCATGATAGGGATTCTTTAAGATTCCTTTGGTGGCCTCAAGGTAACTTGAACAAGGAACCAAAGGAGTATCGTATGAACGTCCTCTTGTTTGGTGCAACTTCGTCACCAAGTTGTGCGGCTTTCTGTTTAAAGCGCACGGCAATTGAAAATACTGATAAATTCAGTCAAGAAGCGGTAAGTACGGTCGAACGTCATTTCTACGTTGATGACCTTCTTAAGTCAGTATTAGACTCAAGTTCGGGAATTAGACTTGCCGCAGAAATGAAAAAAACTTCTTTCTTTAGGGGGCTTCAGACTGACAAAGTGGCTCTCTATTTGTGAACATGTCATGAATTCGATCCCGGAAGCGGATCGAGCTCAGTCAAAGGAAAAAATAGACCTTGACAACGAATCGTCATGTGAGCGAACACTTGGGTTACAGTGGCATGTTAAGCATGACCATTTTGTGTTTGATGTAAATCTCCGTGACAAAGGTACGACAAGACGTAATATCTTGTCGGTTGCCAGTTCATTGTATGATCCGCTTGGGCTTGTTGCGCCAGTGACGTTAACACCAAAATTGATTCTACAACGTGCTTGTAGAACAAACCTAGGCTGGGACGAACAAATTCCAGATGCGGATGCTGAAAAATGGTTGCAGTGGCTAGCCAGCCTACCAGCACTATCGAAGGTAAGTATAGATAGATGTATAATACCAGGTGAGCTCGACAGGTCAACCTTGACAGCTGAACTGCATATGTTTAGTGATTCATCTGAGTATGCCTATGGATCGAGCGTGTACTTAAAAGTGTATGACGCGAAGGGGCTCAGTAAATGCAGTCTAGTTATAGGTAAGTCTAGGTTAGCACCTATAAAGGCTTTTTCGTTACCAAGACTCGAACTTGCAGCAGCTGTAGTTGCTGTAAAACTGTATCAGATTGTCATAGAGGAGCTTGATGTCAAAATTACTGAAAGGTACTTTTGGACGGACTCTATGATTGTGTTAGGTTACATAAGAAATGAAACGAAAAGGTTTAAGACTTTCGTTGCAAATAGACTATCAATAATTCATGAGGTGACGTCACCACATGACTGGAGGTATGTACCCTCAAAGCGTAACCCTGCCGACATTGCGTCAAGGGGAGTTAATCCGTAAGAAACTGAAAGGCTTGACATATGGTTGAATGGCCCCGAATTCCTTAAAAGGAATGAAGCAGAGTGGCCAGTGCAGGTAAGTAATGTAAATGAGGATGACATAGAGCTCAAACCTCAGGCTAGTGTACTAAACACTCATGGTAAGTATAATTTAAGTATGAATACGTTACTAAGTAAGTTCTCCGACTGGCATAAACTTCAAAATGCAGTCGCTTGGCTACTACGTTTTAAGTGTTTCTTAAGTGAGAAATACTTACCCCAAAGACGAAGTCTTTACAGTAAGGTAAGTAGCAAACCCCTAAGTGTGTGGGAAATTAAAATGGCACAAACAGCCATCTTTAAATTAGTTCAAACGGAGGCGTTTGAAAATGAAATAAGTGAATTAAAGGCTAAGAGGCCAGTTCCGAGTTCGAGCCCTCTGAAAAGGCTATGTCCTATATTGAAGGATAATGTAATGCGAGTCGGCGGACGACTAGCAATGTCCGACCTACACGTAGATGCTAAGCATCAAATTATCTTGCCGAGTAGCCATCACGTGACAAGAATCCTGATACAAAATTGTCATGAACAGAATGCGCACATGGGTCCAGTTCACATTCTGGCCATGTTGCGACAAAAGTATTGGATAATCCACGGTCTGCAAACAGTTAAGTCTGTTATCGGTAGGTGCATAACATGCAAACGACAGTTACAACGACCGGAATTGCAACAGATGTGCGACCTTCCAGAAGAAAGGCTCACGCCCGATAAGGCACCGTTTACGTATGTCGGTGTCGATTATTTTGGCCCGATGACTGTGAAGTCTGGAAGACGACATCTGAAAAGATACGGCTGTATATTTACGTGCTTGACCACCAGAGCAGTGCACATTGAAATTGCTCATAGCTTAGATACGGACTCTTTCATCTGTGCACTGCAAAGGTTTTGTAAGTCGTAGAGGCCGTCCCGAAAAAATATACAGTGACAATGGGAAAAATTTTTGTATCAGGAGATAGAGTTTTGCGTGATAGCATTCGGCAATTTAATCAAACTCGACTCGCAAAAATTATGTCAACAGCAAGAAATAAAATGGCATTTTTAATCCTCCATATGCAAGTCATATGGGCGGTATTTGGGAACGGTTAGTACGGTCCACAAAAGGGCTATAAAATCAGTCATTGGAGAACAACTTCTCAACGATGAGGCTCTGTTAACTTTAGTTACAGAGATAGAAAAGATTCTCAATGATAGACCGATTACCCAGGTAAGTAGTGATCAAAGGATCCAGAACCCTTATCCCCAAATAAAACTTTTGATTATGAGACCAAATGCTTCATTCCCACCAGGTTTATTTGATAAGCGAGATGTTTATTGTAAACGCTGGTGGCGACAGGTACAGTATCTAGCGAATGTTTTCTGGAAAAGGTGGGTTCGAGAATATCTGCCGACCTTACAGGTAAGACAAAAATGGCATAACATTCAAAGGAATGTGTCCGTAAATGACCTCGTTCTCGTCTGCGACGAGCAATTATCTCGGGGGCAAATGGCCATTAGGCCTCGTTCTGGAAGTAAACAAAGGTAGAGACGGACTTGTAAGGTCATGTAAGGTCAAGGTAAATGGGTCCGTGAAAGTACGGCAGATTTCGATGTTATGTGTATTGGAACAGGAAATCGTCAGAATTAACGTTTAATGAGCGACCTTGTTTGCCTCGCTATAAAGACGTTACGATATTTAAAAAAGTGTATATATGTGTAACATAATCTAGATTAGTAAAAAATTCTAGAACTTGTGAATGTTTTGATTATTACAAAACGAGTATTAAATTCTTCGTCTTCCCTTAATATATAAGAATGAACTTATGTAAAAAAGTTCATTGAGGGCCGGTGTTCCAGACTCCGAATGTTGGTGCTGGTTTTAATTATCAGAGACCGGTTTAAAATGTTTAGATAATTGTTTTGATTTCAATAAATCATGCCAACTATCCAGCGCAGTGTTACTTTAGTGCGCTCTGGTCCCTGCCAAGACTAAGCGTTCCCTAGTAATTAATGATCCCCATATTTAGAAAATCAAATTTTACTTTTATTTTCTTAGAGGGCGCTTCCTGCATTTTGGTTGGTCAAAACTGTCCCTAGAAATAATAATTATATGCAAATGCAAGATTTTGCCGCCTTTCCAAGGCGCAGTTGAAAATAAGATTTCGGAATGTGCAGTACAAATCTTGTGAATTTCTATTTATTAAGTTTCGGGCACAGATACCATTGTTCAGTAAGTTTATTTTTGTTTTTATTTGCCTTCGTTCGGGAAAATTATTGTTTACATAATTTTTGTTCTAAAATAATTACATTTATTATTGTTAAGGTATATACATTAACAATTTTATGTTAAGATAGATAAAACTGTATCCTAGTTAAAATTTTGATGTAAAAGTAAATAATCTGTAATTCTATCAATTAATAAATTTTCAACATTACTAGCAGCAGGATTCCCACAGTATTTGTTAAGGATGAATTATATATGTGACTTGTTTATTTGTAAGTATGTATGCATTCTTTGTATGTTGTTTTAATTGTTATTAATGGAAGTATAATTGTTTAACTTTCAGATAACCGCTATATACGCTATATACGCTATATACGCTATATACGTTAGATACACTATATACTCCTTAGACTATGTGTTGTTTCTGGAATAAAAGTTGAAAATATAGCGCGTGAATTGCATCTTTTTGTTGCCCAAACTTAGTGAAGCTGCCCATTACGACTGTGTCGTAGTGTCTTTGTAATTTGGTGAACAGTTGAAGTGAACACCCGTATTAACGTGTTCTCTCTCAGCCACCCACGTAATCTACACTGTGTTCTTAAAGTGATTGAACAGTATAGTTCCTACAGTTATTGAACACTGTGTTATTCTACAGTTATTGAACAGTATAGTTCCTACAGTTGTTGAACACCGTGTTATCCTACATCTTATTTTCTCTATTTTATCGCCACATCAGCGTTGTTTGTGCCGTGTGGAGGCTGTAAAAAGTCGCCCCGTACATTCAATCAGAGATGTTATATTTCCGATCCTTAAAGATCGTTCAGCACGACATTATTGTTGTGCTTGTGGTATTTTTAGTTTTAACTTTTCGGCATTTTCTAGTTGGGTGGTTCCAATATTCCTTCTTGAATAATGTTAAATCACCCTTAGGATATGTTGCTTGCTTTTTAACTTTGTCTTTTGACGTCTTATCTGTGATATGCAGGCTTCATAACCTCTGATCCCCTTTCAAAATTCCATTTTATTTAGTTCCGCCCATTGTTTTCTCGTTTAGGGCACACGCTTTTTATTACTTGGGGACCATACGCCGCTTTTCATGGAATGGCACGGAAGTGTCACGTTGAAGGTTCCATGATGACCGCCGTATGAACACATCTGCGGATGTTTCGAAATTAAAAATTTATCATTTCATGTTTAAATGTTGAATTCTGCTTAAGCCGGTGCTAGGGGGCGTGGACGGTAACTTGCACTTTCCAGTACCGTCCATGAACAAGCTCAATCAAACCGAGCCTGCAACATTTTCAATTATGTTGTGTTGGACTTTCTTTAGGGATTCTTATTTTCTCTATTTCATCGCCACATCAGCGTTGTTTGTGTCGTGTGGAGGCTGTAAAAAGTCGCCCCGTACATTCAATCAGAGATGTTATATTTCCTATCCTTAAAGATCGTTCAGCACGACATTATTGTTGGCTACAGTAATAATAATAATAATAAAAGTACAAATATATCTTTCAAGTTTGTCATCTCCTTATGGTGAGAAAAAAAGAGCGTTTAGTTACAGTTGAATAACATCAATGGAAATCATATACACATGTACATAATTAATTATACAGTGATTAATTTTAGATGTGCGACCTGCGTAAAATATGTAAAAAAAATAGAAAAGAAGCAGTTTTAGAAATATGTGGGTCTCATTTGACGCATGCAAATCTGGTTGTTTATAATCCAAAATATCACAGTTATTGATTTCTATGTACCGTTTTATTAGTTTAATTTCATCAGTTGAAGAATTTATCAATTTCATCATTTGAATAATTTAATTTCAGATGATCATAGGCACAAGACTCACCCCCTATTTGCCGAAAGCAAGTGTTGCTTGTGATCGGTAACCGCCCATTATCTGCATTAGCCAATCAGAGTGTCCCTTTTGCATGACAGCAAATCAATCATCCGCCTACAATTGTGAAATATCAAACGAAATGTTTCAATAAATGCTTGAGATATATTTTGTCCACACAAAAACTCATAATATCCATTCTAAATATGTAAATATTAACAGTTGCTTAATATCTGAAGCGGACAATGTAAAAATAAAACAAGATTCATCTCATGGTAAATAACATAATTATATTGGGCTGGTGATTGTCGGCATGCCTTTTTGATGAGATAAAAGGTGTGTTGGGTTTTTTGAACTTTGTCAAAATAACCTTTTTAAAATGTAAACGTCATGATGTGAAAAGTGGTTTAATTTTCACTTAGCCTACTGCACATGTCTGAGTGTTTTGGTTTTTTTATCTGGAATGATACAAATAGCAAAGGTAATATTTAAACGTAATTTAAATAATTATATGCTCAATAATATTGATGAGTAATCAAAAAAATTTATAACAGAATTAGAATGGATGCTCTTTAATTAAAAATAAAACTCGACAAAGATGTTTATAAATATTAAAAAAATTGTTTGAAAAATGTAAATTATGAAAAAATCGAAAAAAAAAAGAAAAAAAAACAACAGTCATTTAACCTTTATGCATGTCTCTAAGTGTTTCAACATTGTCTACTGAAGATAATAAACAGCTGTCTCGCAAACTGATTTCTGTATTGCTCTTCAGTTTTGCAAACCATATAGTCTAGCATCTTAATTGCCTGGCAAAATACAGCCCTAGTATGTAGGAAAGAAACCTCTTCCTTATCCCATTAATGCAGTGGTTGCAGTGCTTGGATTTTGAATATAATCTTGAGCATTTTATCAAACTGCACTAAATCAGGGTCTTTCAAATAGAAAATTCTATTTGAAAGACCCTGACTAAATCAAATATCTTTTAACGTCTGGTGGGTTTTGTATTTATAAAATATCTATAAGATAAAATAAAAACACAATTATATGTATACATATGAAAATGACGACTGTAAAAAAATTCCAATAAAATGTGATTTTTGCGACGGACGCGCCCTCATGCGCGTTCAGAGCTATGTCATCTACACATGGAATTTCGACATCTACAATAGAAAAAGTGTCCCGAACCGAATAACATCTAAGAAATAGTGCACGATTTAATCATTTAAAGCACACCCATTATGTCGAAATATGCGAAAAGCGTCTATGTTCCAGTTTGATTGCAAAGACCGTTAGTTATCCGACTTAAAAGATAAACAAATGAATATCATATAAACGAGAAAATATCGTAATAATTGCACCACTTTGACCTTATTTGTCCAATCCGATTTACAGCCAAACACGGTTTTATGAATGAAAGTCGTAAGCAGGAAAAGTAGAACGACAAGTTATATAGAAAATAGTAATAGTTCATTTTAATGTAGAGCAAAAATGTTAGTAAAAACATTAGGAAGTAACTATTATGTGAAAAATATGTGCCAAAATATCTTTTTGTGGTGCCTGAAATAATTTTCTAAATAACTATTCCTCCGCTTAGAAGCACTATTTTTATCAATGAGATTGTACAGACACGTCACTCCTCAGACATTTTAACTTTGGCCATTTTGCAGACACTTAACCTTCAGACACTCATATTTTTAAGAAATTTGATTGAGACACATTTTCAATTTTTATTTTTTTCTGTTGAACGATAAATAATGTTAGAAACGATAAAAATATTCAATATTGAAGTATCTTGAGGGTCGGGTGTGGCTTGAATTGTCCGGGGGATTAGTGTCTTTTTCCCATTAATCTGACCTAG